TTGGCTTAATTCCTCTATACAACATTTCTCTTTTTTTGAGAGTCATTGCCTTTAGGGTTTTTTTTTAGCGAGGGAGCAAGGAACATGCTGCTGACTCTGCTACCAACATGTGCAAATGCGTCAATACTTTATTTTAACTCAGTGAACAAGAAATGCCATGAAGTGTTTACAAACTGCTGAGCTGCTTGTCATGGAGTAAACATGCCCTCTACTGTTTAGAGAGAGCAGGGATCTTATTACAAAGGGCTTGATTTGCAGTCTTGGGGAAAAAAGTATTCTCACTCCTGTTTTTGGTGCACTCCCTTAAAATAGGAGTGAAATACAGCATTGGGAAAAGTCTGGGCATCTGTTGGGCCCTTCTGCCTGTGCATTGCATGTGTCTGGACTGGGCTCGGGCCTCTCTTCCAGAGAGGTGGGTTAGGGATGTTGAGGACATCTCTGTGAGAGAGAGGCAAACCTTGGCCAAGGTGAGAAGCCCTCCAGGCAGCTGAGCCACGCTTGCAGAGCATTTCAGGACTGACTGTTGGCACTGCAGAACGGTTTCTGACTCCCCACTGGATACAGCACGTGTGCACAGATGGAAGATCAGCTCTTGCTAAGAATTAAGGTGGTTGGAGTTGCTTTGCAAGTGGACTTTGCTGCTACGGCTGCAGATGCCTTTCTATCCTCATTACATGTGCTTAACAAAACAGTGGAAAAAATGGCCCAGTACTGCAAAATACTGAGATGGATGCTGCTGGATGCAGCACCTATTGCTGCTTTTCTAGAGCGTAAGTAGCACTGAGTTGCACTGAAGTCACTTAGATCCAAGTCACTTAGATCTGTGCAGGTCCCCAAAGACATTTGAGAACATGCCTCATGTGCCTTTCTGAGCCATGAAACAGTGCAGGCTGGACGAGGGAGAAGCAAGGTCTATTTATGGATCCTTTATTTAATTACCTGACCTACCCTGCCATTTCTTTATCTCACCCTATCTCTCTCCAGCTTCCTGTCTTTGCCTGGTTAGCATCAGACATCCCACATCACTTTGGCTATTTTGTGGTCTGCCTTTGTCATCATGTTTGGGGTTTCCATTCCCAGCCATCACTGTATGTGAAACACAAACTCTCCCAGCTGCAGAGGGAGCATTTACAAGTTTTCATCTTTCCTGGACCAGGCTACAGGTATTTTCATCCAATGGAACAAGTAAATCTATCTCATTTCAACTAAATTTATGTTCCTAGAAAAAAGAGCCAGCTGTGTTTCTTACCTGAGGAGTTTCATCCCTTAGGGTTTGTGTTTGCCTGGTGTGGACTGGGGCTGAAGATGGTATGAGAAGGTTTTTGCACCGGGTAATTCCATCCCCATGAGTTTGTTCACTCACAAGCCAGACTGGCAGCCATGGTGGTGCAGGTGATGTTTGCTGGGATTTCTTCAGGGAGCCCTTGTCAGCGTGAGACCTTGGGCCACCTTCCCCTGCTCATGGCCACCACGGCCAGGGATGCTCAACAAAGGGCTGGGCTGTGAGATCCTTGTTCAAACCACTATGAACTGAGTGGGGTTTTCAGGGCTGAGCCTTGTGTTACTTTTCAGAGAGAAGAAAAGTAAAGCGCCACCAAAGCCACATAACCAGCAGGGCTTTTTTTCCCCACCTCATAATCTTAAAGTAATGCAGAGCATTCCTTGGAGTGATGCTCAGAAGCCAGGACTCCTGCATCACCCCTGCAAACACCACCACTGTCCTTTGCCTTCTGTGGGAGCTCCATGAGTGAACAGGAGTTTTAAAAGGGGAAAACACGCTGGAGAGGGTGGTCTTTCTCTCCCTCCTTTTCTCTGAGGGAGAAGCTCCTTGGATTTGGAGCCCACCATGTTGCCCGTGCAAGCACCTCTGGCAGCATCATGTGCGGTGGGTGCAGGATGCTGGCCCCCGAGGCTCAGCAGCGGGGGGAGCTGCACTCCCCTGCCCCTTATCCCATTCCAGGTCACGGCACCTCGCCCAGCTCAGCCCGGGCCCCTCCCTGGCAGGGGTTTTGCACCACGGCCTGGCTTTCAGCTCCACGTAAAAGCCCTGAGAAAGAGGAAGAGAGCTGGGAAGAGTTACTTGCATGGATTTTGACAGCTTTTGAAGCTTCTGGCACACACCATGTTTGCAGTGTGTTCCGGGAGGTGCCTGGCAAGTGCAGCCGTGAGGGAGAGCAGCCCCTGCAGGAGGCTGAGCGCAGGAGCGGTGCGTGAGCTGCCCCCTCCGAGGGCAGCGGGGCCGCTCTCTGGAGCCCTCCTCTCCACCCACGGGGGTTAAGAAACTATTGGGCAAATGGAGAAACTGCTTTCAAAGGTCTTGCACTTAAGCTAGAGGGGCTCTGTGAAGCGGAGCTGGCTTCTGGTTGTAGATGTGGCTGTGAACCTTTGCTTTCCTATTTCTGTCCTTCCACCCCATCATTTGATGCTCTCCTTCAAAGCAGACCAAATCCAGTTCCCTAAACAAGTGATGTATTAAATCATTTGGGTAGCACTTAGACATTCTCTTGCAACCAGGCTTTTATTTTTGTCTAAGCTTACAGCAGGCAAGAGCTGTGATGTGACTGTGGGGGTGTTGTTGGGTTAACATTTTATTAATTAACAGATGACGTTTTAGCAAAGGAAATGTAAATTTTACACACAGACTCTTCCAATATCACCTAGCAGTGGTAATTTTATTTCTGACATTCCCATGGTGAGGCAAGGGGAAAAAAAAACATTGGTAAGGCAATTATTATAAATGATTGTTCCTTGAAAGTCATTAGAAATGTAGAATTATTTTTTTATAGATATAGCCATTACATTCATCGTTGTAGCTGCAGCTTCTAATGAAGCCTTTAAAGTTACAAAATTAATACAAAGTGTTTGGAGCGTTTTGTTCTCCTGGTCTCTAATCCTACAAAGGTGGAAAGAGGTGAATAATAAGGGAATTTAGTGCATGCTGCAGGGAAGGGAGGGGAGAACTTCAGAGGACAGATGCGTATGCCAGTCAAGTCAAACGCTACAGCAATGAAGATGTATGTGCAAATGAGCTGATGCCTGGGGTTACTTGGCTGATAAGTAGATGGCCTTGCTGAGTGAAAAGTGGCAAGTGATGGTTATCCACGGAACAGCTTTTTCCTCCTTTGCTGTGTTATGTGAGCGATACAACTTCATCACAAAGATCTATCTCTCCTTTTCCACATGCACAGGGAGGAGAAGATGTTGTTCTTTATATAGTGCCCTCTTGAGCCCAAATTTCTTCCTGCCTGTGGGGTCTTGGAGGCCATTTGTGGGTCCTGGACCCTGGAGAGCAGCAATTCCTGCCTCTGAGCCCCTCACCCTCTCAGAGGCTCCTGGAGAGGCTGGCCAGAGGTCCACATCCTGGTGTTGGTGCCCAGCTGCACCTGTCAGATGGGGCATTGGCATTTTGTATCCCAAGGAAAAACAGAGCCAGGAGGTGAAGCCAGGAGCAGGAAGACCTGACAGGGGAGCCCTACTCCTTTCTGGGGTGCAGAGTGTAAAGCACTGGCATTGACCAGTTGTTTGAGCTAGTACCATGGACATTACATCCTCTGTAGATGTGCCCTGAAGGATCGAATTCCATCTGTTGCTAGGACAAAAGATACTCTCAGTCTCAGATGGCAAGGAATTTGTTGATGCAAGGTATGTTTCTATAGAGAAAAAAATGAACCTTTGCAAGTGGAGAGTCCATGTTATGCCTAGTTCACTTGGGCTTTCTAGTGGTGGTAGGGGAAAACAGACCCTGAGGTCTCAGTGCTGGTACCAGAGGTTTGCCTGGGGCTATGAAGAAGGTCTGTGAAACCAAAACGAACCTGCCTATGCTCCAGTGCCTCCTTGAATGGCACCCCAAGCCATTCACCTTGGAAATCTATTTATAAAGCCAAAATATAAATATAAATCTTGAAGATGCACCTCTGTTATTTTCAAAGATTATTGTTTCTGCTTCATGGCCTGGTTTCTGAGCCTCTGCAAAAACTCCCATCAGCTTTGGCAGGCCACGAATTAGGTCACTGCTTCATTGACATCTTCCAAAATAGCTCTGAAATAGATAGTAACAAAGATATTTAAGGTGACACAAATCACACTGATTTTTATGGAGCTTGATTCAAATTATTAGTTTGAATTTGGATATATGAGCCATTCGAGATTATTAAAAGTGTTAATGAAGCTAAAACTTCTATACTATTGGACACCGCTATGTAGTGAGGGTGGATGCTGCATGTAAAAACTTAGTGGCATTGTCTTTGCTTCTCCCAACTTTGCTTCCAGGATTACAGGAGGTAACTGGTGTATATAGGCCACAGAGAGAGAGGAGCTTTTCAAGTCTTTGCTAACTTTCTCAATTAACTAGTTAGATAAAATAAACCTCAGTTATCCAAACATAGTTTCAACTTGGAAAGTTTCCACCAGTCCAATGAAATGAATGACATTTTTCTCACTGTGATAAACCAGCAGTCTTGCAGGACTGATACGTGCCAGTAGGTAAAAAGAAGGCTGTATATTCTTTTTTAGTGCTTTACCTTTTTTTCCTGAAGCTGAGCAGAAGTTAAAAGATGTCTCCCCAAAGCTGGTTAGTGGCCAGAGTGCTGGTGAGATGCCCCAGGTGCGTGTTGACCGCAGGTGCTGTGTGGTGTGGGTCTGGAGCTGGGCACACGGGGGGCACAAACCACCTCTGGGAAGAAGAGTTAATGGCTTGAGCATCATCACCCGAGCAAAGAGAAAGCATGTCCACCCTCCTCAGTCTCAGTGTTGTGCCTGTTACCTGTGGTGCTTTACGAGCCCTCTAGAAGCCGTAGCTCTCCTGTAGGTTCCCAGCTGTGCACAGGCTTGTTCTGTTGTCACCCGAGCTTGCTGCGTCTGCCGGTTGTCAGAGGTTGCTTGTAGCCACTGGTCAGTGCTGCTGCGGTTCTCCTCAGGTTCACCACGGTACCTCGTGAAACCACACGCCTCTTGGTCACTGTCCAGAAAAATAAATGCTTTTATTTCTTTGTATTTTACAGATAATCAACCCCAATTTCATTCAAGAAGGTGAGTTGACGGCCGTGTGCTGAGTGGCGCGGAGGGGCAAGGCAGCAGCTGTGATGTCCTGCGGTGCCACAGCATGCTCTGCACCCACCAGCGTGTCCAGCCAAGGCAGCTTCACTGCTCGGTCCCCCAGAAAGCCATCTGCCTGCTGGCTGCTCAGCTCAGGCAGCCCTGGGCCACAGGAGGGGCTAAACCCCCCCAAGCCTGCCTTCACAAAGTCTCACCCTCCTCCCACAGCACAGGGTTGGGGGATGGACAATCCTTGCTCCCTTCCGTGAGCTGTCAGCCACTGGCTTTTAAGTGAAGGAGAAGTTCTGGTAACATAATCCCAGGACCCCCAGCTGTTTGGGATCCACACCACACAGCTGGTCCTGTATAATGTATTCTCTAGACTTGTATGGGGAACGTCGTCACCCGTAGATTACGGGTCAAGAAGGTGTCATGTGTGTGTCCCCATGTTTTTTTGTAGTGGCTCCAGAGTTTCTTGTGCCATTAGTGGACGTCACCTGCCTGCTCGGCGACACAGTGATGCTGCAGTGCAAAGTCTGTGGACGGCCCAAACCAGCTATAACCTGGAAAGGACCGGATCAAAACATTCTTGACAACGACAATGGCACGGCCACTTACACGGTGTCATCCTGGTAAGGTCCTGCCCGTGAATCCCAACAGAGCTGGTCACAATGGTCATGTTGCCCTCAAATATGGCACCAGCCAGGCTACACGATTGATTAGAAATGCAGTTAATCAAATTTGGCATGGTGTGTTGGCAGCTAGAAAGGGTCAAACGTTGGTGTTCACATAGTTCTGTCATTTCTTGAGCTGACATAGGGGCTGACACGAGCTTGTTCCTATTGACCTCCTGAGCCAGCTGCAAGCCAGATGCCAGAATGTTTCCAGCATACTAGTTTGGCTAATGTTGCCTGTGCATTGCTGGAGCTTCTCTGCTTGAGTTTCGTACCATTCTCACCTTTGGTAGGAACAGGAGATGAGCAGATCAAGCCCTCACCAGCTCACAATACCCATATCATTAGCTGTAATCTCACAGGCAGAGGTGGCAACTCCTGCAGTTTTCCTGAGCCTTTCCTCAGCTATTCCCAAAAGAGCCTACATGTACTCCTGGGAAGGCTACATCTGGCTGTGCTTGGACAGAGGGATGCTTGTCACAATGTTCCTGGCTTGGCTACTAGGGAGGAAAACCACCTTTACAACAAGCACTGGGAAGATGAAAAAAGGTCTGGAGTTGAATTCAGGTCAGGTAACAGCCTGCTGCTGTATGCTCATCCACAGCTTATATAAGCAATTGGGGCCAAACTGCAGTGGAAATCTCCAGGAGGCAATCTTTCAAGTGAACTTTTCAGCACTTCTGGCTCAGGCTGAGATGAATCCAGGGAGTACAAAGTCACTGAGAGTGAAAAATGGAATATTAGGAGAGAAGAGATTTTACATGTTCAATAAAAATATTACATCTTATCAAGAACTTCCTTCAGAGACCATTGGCTTGTGTGGCTGCCCCAGAGCACCCAAAATTGTCTTTTTAGCTATTAGCAGATTGCTAGTGCCTTATTTTCAGGCTCTGGTTGGGGTTGGGATGGGGGGATATTTCCATACAGTTTTGTTTTCCATCACAGTCTTTTGCCCATGCATTGGCTCCCTGTGCACTATCAGCACTTGTATTGTCTTATTACTCATATTTGTTCCTCAGTGAAAACACTGCCTGCCAAGGGAGGCCCAGCAGATCAGTGGCTTTTACAGATCTTGCTGGCATGAGTGTCCGGATGCTGGGGGAAGAGGATATTTCTGTCCTGTGTTAAGCCAGACCAGCAAAAGCCACAGCATCCAGGCAGTTATACCACATCCCTCTGTGGTTTCCAATAGATTACGCATTGGAGAACTAGTCTGCTTTTGTCATTGGGAATTTATTGTTGGCTCTACGCTGGGTCTCCAGTACAGCTAAAGCAGTTACACAAGCAAAATTCTTTAATTCAGGCCAACTCCCTTAAGCTGTATAGTGAAGACTGCAATGTGCAAACCAAAGTGACTATGTACAGGCCTGCTGTAAATTCACCAGACTCTAGAGCTGTTTTCTCAGACTGGCCCAAAGATTTGAGTGTCTCTCACAAACTCGGAGTTGATATTCTTTATCCCTAGCTGTTGTGAGATGTCCACCCTTCCGACCAAGTCCCCGGCAGCCTCATTAAATCAACAGCACATGCTTCAGGGGTCCAAAGCTCCTCAGGCACCCTGTGCTGTCAGACTGCCTTCTGCATCTGCAGGAAACCATATTTGTCTGGCACGTGTTGGACTTAACTGCAGAAGCACAGCAGCTCAGCACCTCCTGAGGCAGGAAAGATGTGCTGGGAAAAGCTTTCCACATATATGGAGTCTAAATATCCAGCTCTGGACAGGCACAGCAAGTGTTCAGCTCCTGGACTTTGCTTGCTGCTTGAGTGACCCTTCTCCATCTCCTCCGAGGCCACAGCAAAGTAGATTGGGCAGTTTGGACCGTTCTGCTCAAAACTAAACAAAATCATCCACAGAGAGCAGAGCAAGGGCAGGCTCATAAAATGCTCATGAAATCCTGGAAGAGGCCATGGGGAAGCCTAGTCTGCAAAGGTCTGGAGTATTCACTACTGGAAGCCACAGTTGTGGCCTAATCCTGGCATATGGAGGGGTTGTACTTGGGTACCAGATTGCTGGGGGGATGTTCCTTCAAGTGAGTTAACAGGATTTGTGTGCACATGTGTTTGTAACGAGGCAGGTCAGGAGCTGGTATAAAAAGATTAGCAAGTGAAGCAGTGCTTTCTAACTGGGGCTCCCTGCACCCACAGTGACTCTGGGGAGCTCACCCTGAAGATCTGCAACCTGATGCCTCAGGACAGTGGCATCTACACCTGCGTGGCCACCAACGAACACGGAACCGCATCAACCTCTGCAACCATCAAAGTCCAAGGTAGAACATCTGACCTTGACACCCAGGACTCTCCCTGTACGGGGTCCCGTGGTGGGGGCTGGGAGCAAGTAGGAACGGTGCAAAGGCAGCCAGGTGTGGAGCTGTGCCAAGTGAATTGAGATGTTGAAGTCACACCCATTCCTCAGTCAGACTCCCACTGATGGCTGAAGGCATTGCAGACTCTTGGTGCTTGATTAAGTCCTCTGATCAGGCGCATCACATCTGGGAACTGAAGATGCTCTGGCACTGGTTCAGCTCCGGCATCCTGCTCACAGCGCTGCTCCCCAGGGGCCCGGCACACCCCGCCAGGTGAAGCTGAGCTCCCTCAGGCTGCTGAGCCCCTGGGGCATGGTGCCCCGGGGGGCTGCTGTGCTTCAGAGTGTGCCTGGAGCTGGGGGACCTGGGATCCAGTGATACTGATTTTCAGCCTGCTCTTCTCTGTGGGGGACAGAGGATGCAAGAGTAAGATTTGGTCTGGGTGAACCATTGTGTGGGGATGCAATACAGATGCATGTCTCCAAGCCTGAATTCTCAGTGTTGTAATTAGTGACTCAGCTAATTGTAATGAATATGAAGTGATGAGTTGATGCACAGGACCTCCAGCTCTGGGAAAGGATCTGTTAACATGAGAGATGAGGGGTGCCTGCTGTGTTGAAGGGGATGGCACAGAGACAAATGTCTAACTGGTGACTTAGAAACACAGGAGTGTCACAAGCATTTAGAAGTTGATTTGTTTGGTCTCACAAACTGCCCTAGAGATGTAATTTCCCTAATTTATCCAAGGAAGTTAGTGTCTGTGCTAACTACTCCTGTGCTGAAGGGAGCCCTGAGCAAAACACAGAAGAATTACTGGTCATTTGTCAATCTGCTGCCAAACATACCAGGCACTATACACAGAGAAGCACTCTGAATGCCTTGCTTGTGTCATTTTTGGACTCTTTGAGGGCAACTGTCTCCCACCTCCAGAACCTCATTCAATCCTTGGTGAAGTCCATGGGAATATTTGTTTTCCTCAGTTTCACAGGCTTTGCACCTTTGCAAGTCTTGAGCTGGAGCAAGAATTAGCAGCAGAAGGTGGCACATAAAGAGGCTCTGCCCTTATAGCAGCTGAGCTCAGACAGACCTCTCCACCCAAGGGGGGATTCCTCTGTCTGATCTTGCAGGGAGCTCTCTGGGGTGTTGCAGTCCAGTTGACCACCAGCTGTGAGTGAGAAGAGATTACCCCTGTGCTGCAGTATGTGCCTCACCATGCTGAGGCAGTGGGGCTGGCAAGCAGCACAGCCCTCTCCTCGCTGCCAGTGCGAAGGTCTCAGACTCAGGGTGGTATGTGAACAGGACTGTGACGTTGCCTTTCCTCTGGTTGTGCTGGTAACCCATTGTAAACCAGTGTTCCCTCTGCAAGGCACAGCTGCCTCACAGTGACCTGGTGTAGCTGACACCCCAAACTTCAGAATAAAGCACAGCATTCATTGACAGGATGCTGGACTTGTTTTCTCTTCCCAAGGTGTCCCAGCTGCCCCAAATCGCCCTATTGCTCAGGAGAGAAGCTGCACCTCTGTGATCCTACGCTGGCTACCCCCATCCAGCACAGGCAATTGCACCATTTCAGGCTACACTGTGGAGTACAGAGAAGAAGGTGAGTGGTTTGAGCTGTACGCACTGGCTGGGAGAAGGAGAACAAAGTCAATCTCCTTTATGTCACAAGAGGTCCCAGAAGCACCCCTGGCACCACAGGGGTGCCTCGTCGTTTCCTCCATCACTTATGGCAAGTAAAGTGTGCTAAGCTAAAACATGTCCATCACTGAGGCATCCTTTCATCATTTGCATTCTGCCACCACAGTACCCATCCTTTCTGGTGGACATTTCCCAGGAGTGCAAAAACGAAGCAGCCTCATTTTTTTATCTGGATGGAGATGTAGATCCCTGCATACTTTTCAAGCTCAGCTCTGAATTCTACTTATTCTTAAATCCAACTATCCTTTTCCCCTGAATAATTAAACAGATATTAAATACTCTGTTTTCCCAATATGCACATGCTTTTGAAAAGGACATTTGAAACAATGCACTTCCCATTTTGCGTTCTTCCTGCAAAGGTGTGAGGGTCCCTTGGCAGTAAACTTTGCCTTAGGTAGTGACCTCTGTTTTTTCCCCTTCATCCTTCAAAAAATCATGACTCACACTAGTAAATGTGCAAACTTAATTACTCCATCATATTAATGCCTTCTCTTAGCAAATACTCTGCCTTGACCCTCACTGTGCCATAAGTGTGATTAGCATTTTTGTGAAAAAATAAAAGCTTTTCTATTAATAACAGCCACCATAACAAATTTTAAAAAAAAAAACAAAAAAACCCAAACAAACAAACAAAACAAAAAAAAAAAAGAAAAAAACCCACCAAAACTGTTTTCCTTTTCAGTATTCCTCCCACTCCAGAAAACCAACCTTGACCTTGTGAGACCTAGCAATCAGAATTTGCTCACAGCGCAAACAAAATATATGGGTCATGGTAAATAATGTAAAGGTAAAAAGCCCTGAACTCACTAAAATAAGACAAAATTTTATATATTGTTGAAAGAAATCATAGGCTATGACAGGGCTCAGTATCCCAAGCGACCTTTTCTGTTCTGTGACCCTGTGCAGATGAATAAAGTATAGCTCCTTCGGATGCCACAGGTTAGGCAATGGTTGGGTTGGTTTGTTAGGAGCAGAAACACCTGACAGTCACACATTTATTTGCTACAGTCCTGCTCATCTGCATAAAGTCCATACTAAGACTCAAGAAGCTGGTTCTCCTCCTGCAGCTCTTGAGTTTCACTGTAACCATCATGTCTTCCAAAATACTTCATCTGCAAAAGCACTTGGATTGCACTGACACTGTCTCAGCTTTACCTGAGTCTCCCTTGTCCATATATGGTTTGCAGTATTTCTGCTTCCAATTCTCTCACAGCAGAGGTGTCACCAAATCAGCTCTCGGTTCCTGTCTCTCCCTGAGACATCAGCTGTAGCACACAGCCACAGCTAGAGCACTGGAGGGATCAACTTGTCCCTGGGCTGTAGTTTTTCCATTGCTATCAGTCAAGTCAGGGGCATTTCCGTCCTTCCTTCTCCCTCATTTAGCCAGACTGGAAGGTAGCTGCAGCACCAAATAGCTTGCTGTAGTCTGGTTCTGGTTTGACAGAAATACATCAGTCTGTGTAACACTGCCTTTTAAAAACTTTGTGGATGTTAACCTACCAAGATCCTGCATGACTGGGGCAGAGAAAGCCTCTGCTCTAAGTTCAGCTATTTAGACTGTTGACTCCGGCTCTTCTCTCCCTCTGTAAAACGTAGGCTCGCAGGTCTGGCAGCAGTCGGTAGCCTCAACTCTGGACACGTACTTGGTCATCGAGGACCTGGCCCCAGGCTGCCAGTATCAGTTCCGAGTGAGCGCCAGCAACCCCTGGGGGATCAGCCTGCCCAGCGACCCCTCCGAATTTGTGAGGCTCCCGGAGTACGGTGAGTGGGCGCAGCGAGGGGGTGACACACACGGGTGTCCTCCTGTGCTGTCTGCATGCTCTGATTTGAGGGGTCCCAATAAAAGCACTGAGCCTGGGCCTGGTGGGAACACAGGCAATAGCCTGGGAGGTGCTCAGAGCCAGCTTCTCTGGAAGGAGACTCTTCATGTCTGCTGCTCCAGCAGGGCTCACAGCCCCTCCTCCCTCACAGAAGCTATTGCAGCTTCCTAGCAGCTCCTTGCTTTCCACCCCAAGACCTTTTCTTGTCTTTATCTCTGGGCAACACGCCCTGTGTCCTAGTTGGTGTCCCCTCACCCTTCCAGCAATGCCAGCAGCACCATGGGCTTCTGCTGGGCAGCCCAGCTGGGGTCTGCAAGTCAGCTTGCAGAACATACCCACCATGGGCAATGCAGCTAGCACAGGAAGGCTGGGATGGAGGCAAGCCCCCAGCATGTGGTGCTGCAGGAATCTGGGGTACAGCTCACTCACAACAGTGCTGTGAGCAGGGCCCACATTTCTCTGTGTTTTAGCAGCTTCAGTGTGTAATTAGGTCTGTGACTGGCTTGGATAGCTTGTGCTGGATGAATTGAGAGCTCACAAGGCACAGCTCCTCCTCCCAGCTGCACACAGACATGCCCTTTGACTGTCCATGTGGCCCTCTTAGACCCAAAATTGCAAGGACAGATTTGAATCTACCTTATCCATGCCTTCCCCTGGGAGCTCTAGCTTTTAGTGGTGCAACACACTGGAGCTGTGCCTGAGCAGTATGAAACTGGACTCCTAGTGGTATTATTTGATGCTTTAAGCAATATAGTCTACTATAATTTTAAAATATGCAGTTTATAGTCCACAGGAAACTGTCTTTATGTTTATGCTTTCTTGAATGTGCTTTGTTCTCCCAAAGACTCTGCTGCTGATGGTGCCACTATTTCGTGGAAGGAAAACTTTGACCTCACTTATGCAGAGCTGCATGAGATTGGGAGGTAATATTAACCCTGCTTATCACTGCAATAAAACACCAAAGCAATGGCTTGAAGCTTTTTCCTTGGAGGGAAAGTTTAGGGTGCCTTTTGCAGTTAGCTTGAAAACTGCTGCTCCTTGCAAAAGCATGTTAAGTACTGATGAAAATGTAGACTGGCTAAAATATGGGCTAAATCCTTTTTTTCAAGATCAGCTGCAACTTGATTGCAGCCTGGCAAACTTGTGAACAATGAGGCAGTCAAATCTCTGACAGCCACTGGTATCTCCTTTGTTATCTCTGATTTGATGTGAGCTTTTGAAGTTGTGACAATTTGCTCATTCTGGATAAGCTTCACCTCAAATACCGAGTTTGCTGCAGGACCTGAGGCATTAAGACTGATTTAAATCACATGCCAAAGCACTTTGCTGAGTGGGATGGTCAGCTGAAGGGGAGCCTAAATAGGAGTGGCATAACTTGTCAGCCCTTGGTGCTCTGTGCAGACAACAGATAAGGGCCATGCAGACAATTCAGGTCAATGCAGTCAGTCCTTTCACCTCAGACATCAGAGGCAAGTAATTCTGAGGCTGAAAGGACAAGAGACTCTCTGGTTCTGTAGAAAGAAGAGTGATGTGTTAATAAGGGGCCCAGTTCAGCACGTGGTTTCACTGAGTAGGTTTACTTTCAGGCATGGTACCAGGCACTAGTCTGTAGAAGTTTCCTAAATGCTTTCCTGCCAGCTTTTTTTCTTAATTTCTAACTGTGAGAACAAAAATGAAACAGTGAGACAAAACGAGAGGTTAGTGATTATTTAACAAGACTTTTCTTTTAGTTGTCTGAGAAAGTTTGGGCTCTTTACTAAAGCATCTGGAGAAGGGAGACCCACCACTAAAAAAAGAGATAGAACCTGCAAAAGTGACAGCAAATTGAACCCAGGGGAGGTTGTTAGAGGCTATCAATATGGCTGCACAAAGCAAAATGACACCGTTTGCTCTCAGTATTTGCTAATCCCCAAAGAGTCTCTATATCCATGGTAAGAGACAGAGGCTCTTTGTTGGAAAAGGCCATGAACAACTGGTTAAATCTCATTCCTTGTGAAATATTAATGCACTGAATCAAATAACACTTCAAAAATCAGTCTGGTACTGCACTGAAAACTAGGCACGATTTATTCATGAGGCCCTTCATTATTCCTTTTTTGTTTGTTGTTTGTTTGTTTTTAATTTCAGGGGTCGATTCTCAATAGTAAAGAAATGTGTTCACAAAGCCACCCGGAAAGATGTTGCTGTAAAATTCATTAGTAAAAAAATGAAAAAGAAAGAGCAGGCAGCACATGAAGCAGCTTTGTTACAGCACTTACAGCATCCTCAGTACATCACCATCCACGATACCTACGAGTCTCCTACTTCTTACATTTTAGTTTTGGAACTGTAAGTATGTGGAGCTTGAATTCAAGTGTGTGGGTAGGAATCACAGCCCTGTTAAAGCCAAGGATAAAACTCACCCTGACTTCAGCAGGGCAAAGATTTTATCATCTGATGGTTTTTACTGATTATGATGTCAAATGAAATAGCCATTTTCTGTGGAGCTTCCACTGCCTTTTCTTTAGAGTAAATCAGATTCAGAGGGACAAAAAAACCCGCTTTCTACTCTGGTAAAGCTTGGGTCATTGTATTAGCAGTTAGTGTGTCCCATTGAACAGCATCAGATTTATTTGGGCAGCTTTGTCCACTCTTTATATTTGAGTAAATGTGTGTCAGCTGAATTGAAGCCTACAAGGTTCTAATACTTATTGGTGAAAAGAGCTGTGTAACAACTGTGCTTGGCCCTATAAGGAGAAACAGCAGCCAAAATCCAAAATGCCTCCTTGTAACAGTACATCCAGCAAAGCATATTTGAGTATTTGCTTGTTTATTTATACAGATAAATAAAACTAGGTGGAAAACTTTTATTGGGTTAGTTTTCCCACAGAATGTACTACCAGCTGAAAATGTCAGTGATTTTTTTTCTGCATTATGCAACCAGCTCTATAAATAAATAGATTAATCCAAATAATTAAGAGGATCTGTCTTCAAAGGAATTGCCTCCATCTATTGAATCCATCCTTAAGCAAATGAGTTTACTTTGAGTCTGTTGCTAAATTTTACAAGGACCAGAGATAACAATTGAGGATTAATCATTCTACCACTTCCACAGCCTGCAGTATTTTGAGATATCATTAAATACTCATCAAATCTTGCATTCTAGTTTTCTTCATTTTGAGGTCGCAAAGTTTCCATTGCAATTTTTTCAAATATTAACTGTTCCTAGAGATACCATGTGACCTTTCACATGGAGGGTTTGCTTTGTTTGTAGGATGGATGATGGTCGTCTCTTGGATTATCTAATGAACCATGATGAACTTATGGAGGAAAAAGTCGCTTTCTATATAAGAGACACAATGGAAGCCTTGCAGTATCTTCACAATTGCAGAGTGGCTCACTTAGACATAAAGGTAAGAAGAAAAGAGAATGATGCTGTTATTCAGTGCCCTGGTACAGAGAGTTCCCAGCTGCACAGACAGGGAGGAGGTGCAGTCTGTACCCCAAAGACACCCCATTAGGATCACTAAATGGACAAGGACTGTCAGACCCGTTGACCAGAGAAGGGACTTACTGACCTGCAGCACAAGGTTTTTTTCTTCCTTCAGACAGGATGCACCTATTTCCTTGATGCACTGGTTCATTCTCCCAGGCTTTCTGGATGTCACAAAAGAGAAGGAGGATGACTGAGACAAGAGCAAGATGGCACTAGCACATCACTGAAAGGGGATTACAAGATAAATCCACAGGTTTGGGCTCACACCTGTTCCAATGTGGCTACCAAGCTTCCTGAGCAGAGCTGGCTTGTGCCCAGGCAGCTCAGGTTAGGGCAGAAGGAGCACATCTCCCTCACAGCCACAGCAGTGCCCTGGAAAGTCCAGAGCAGGGAGGTGGAGAGGGTTGGCAGGGGCAAAGGAAAGCAGCACGGTGCTGCACTATGCTGCAGGGCCTGAGAGGGGAACTGGGGGGGGAACTACACCCAGGGAGAAGTTCAGAGGAAGAACATCATGGAGAAGAAATTCAGGCATTCTCTGATGTCACACTCAGTTAGACTAGCACAGCTCGTACCTGCTTTTGTCAGCACATGTGGCAGGAGGCCCTGTACTGTCCTGGATTCAGTATTGTACTGCTGTCCTCACCAATGGCCCAGTTGCTTTGGATGACAGAGAATTAGCAATTGAAGTTATGATCAAGTGTTTTGAGTTTTGTGATCTGCAACATTGATCCTGGTTGCTGGGGATGTCAGATAATCTATCATTTTTTTTGCAGACTTAAATGCCAGTTAAAAATGGAGAATGAGCGATGAATTTAACTTCTGTGTGTTAGTGGACAATCCAGCTTTAAGGAGGTCTCTTCTCAACTCTCCAACCCCCAGGCATGTCAGATGAAGTGATGCTTTCACTCTTCTGCTGCCTACTACCACTACAAGAAAAGAAAAAAAAAAAGTTCCTTTTGTACAGTACCTTTTGTGAGCATTAGTCCCAAAAGCCTAAATCATCCTGGTTTCTTTCAGGAAGACTGTTTGTGTTTTCTGCTGTATTTATAGGACTTGTCAAAAAGTAGGTTTCTCTTGGAGGTAAGAAACTGCACTGAATTCTCTGTTTGATCGTAAGATACTTCCCAGAAACAAGGTGGGAAGCCAATTTTCTGTGACCTATTTACAGCTTTCCTGAATGAGGGATGCTAAATAAAGCACCTTTTGTTGCTAAGTGGGAAGCAGAAGATAGACTGGTAGTGACAGCACTCCGAGCCATGGACAGTCTTGTCCCAGGATCCTGCTCAAGAACATGCTGTTTTTTCAATGCAGAGTGCACAAGAGAAGAGCAAGTGGAGAGATTTGAACAGCAGTGTTGTGAACTTTGCTTTATATAGCCACGAGGCAGCAGTAAAATATGCGTGAGGATGAGGGGTTATAGGACAGAAAAGTGAGCCTAGAGAGGGTGCAAGAAGTAAACTCAGAAATCATCTCAGAGCCAACAAAGGAAGCAAAATCCACATTAAGTCCCCAGAGCAGGGTGTAGAGGCAATGCTCAACATCTCCTACTGAGAGAGAGAGAGATCTTAAATACTGGAAGAGTTGGTAAAACAGAAAGAAAACTGAGATGAAATATAATTTCACTTTGGCTTGAAGGCATGATTGTGTGTTGGTGTTTATAAGGGAGCACTCGCAGCTCCATCCTTATCAACCGTAATGACACGCACCAGAGTCCCTCCCAGGTTACACTATAGTGGGAGCAGAGTTTAACATTTACTTCATGAAGAAAATTTCTGCTACAAGTTATGCACATTTATGTAGCCAGTTGTCATGTAAGCAAATGAAATCTAAATAAACTGATCATAGATGCACAAGTCTTATAAAAATTTTAAAATCTGTCATTGCTCTTAATCTGTAGAGATTAATTTGGGAAAATAAACTGGGAGAGTTTTGGACAAAGGGCAAAATCCCAGTGTGTTGCCCTAGTGCAAAAGAGGATGTTGTCCTTGCAACTTCAGCACTGACCTGAGTTTACAGCAGTGTAAACATCGGTGGAGCTGGTTCCTTGTCATTCACTCTCCTGATCTGTACCTCGCACACATGATTAAATGCAAGTTTTAATTGGCTATTAAACCTAAATGAAATCTACACACTTTATTTACAAAAATATAATTGAGCTTTTATTATCTTTTCAACAGCCAGAAAATCTGCTCATTGATTTAAGAATCCCAGTACCTCGTGTCAAGATCATTGATTTGGAAGACGCAGTTCAGATCACAGGTCATTACCATGTCCACCACCTCCTTGGAAACCCAGAGTTTGCAGCTCCTGAAGTTATCCAGGGCCTTCCCGTCTCCCTGAGCACGGATATCTGGAGCATTGGGGTCCTCACCTACGTCATGCTAAGCGGTGTCTCTCCATTCCTGGACGAAAGCAAAGAGGAGACTTGTATCAATGTGTGCAGAGTCGATTTCAGCTTCCCGCCCGAGTACTTTTCCGACGTGAGTCATGCCGCCAGGGATTTCATCAATGTTATCCTCCAGGAAGACTTCAGGAGAAGGCCAACGGCAGCCACTTGTTTACAGCACCCATGGCTGCAGCCACACAATGGCAGCTATTCCAAGATCCCACTGGATACCTCCCGCTTGGCCTCCTTCATCGAGCGCCGCAGGCACCAGTACGACGTGCACCCGGTCCCCAGCGTCAAGAGTTTCCTGATGAGCAGGCTGAACCCTGGCACGTAACGCCTCCACCCCTGGGGTCCTGAGGCCAGGCGCAGGCAGTGAGCAGGCACAAAGCAGATCTGTCTGTACATAGTCCCGTGTTCGGCATCTCACCCGGCTTCCCTGGCTGCGGGGTCCAAACCACTGTGGAGGTGGCAGCGCCTGCCCAGTTCCCCTGGACCAAAGCAGAGAGGTGAGGGGGGCAGGTGCCTGCTCCTTCCCTTGCTGGGCTCCACTGGGACATGCAGTATTGTCACTGCCAAAAATGGACTGTGGGAAGCAAGCATCAACTGGAAACAAAAGAGCCAAAATTGCCGTTGCCTTAATCTCTGTGAGGCAGCCTTAGAAGAAATCCTCTTGATCTTGCTGAACTGCTTTCAAAACGTACAGGAGGGTAGAGTAGGATAGTGGGGGTAGCGTGAGACTGGGCTGACTTTAGCGTGTGCTGCAGAACTGGACCGAAGGCAGTTTCTGTTGAAATCATTGCAAATCTGCTCCAGGTCCACAGGTGGATTTTGCATGCCCCGTATGCCCAGATCTGCCATGATTTCAGTGGGGACTTTGCCTGCATAGGACATGGAGATCGGGCACAAGTCACTGCTGGATCAGCTTCCATGGTGGTGTGGCTTAGGTACACTCCTGTTGCCTGGTAGTGCTCAGATCAAAATCCCCCATTAATCCTTGAGCCTTCTGCTGTGTCAAGTCAACACACGGTACCTTTCGGAGCTACGACTGAGGCAGTGAATTCATTGGAGCATACAGCTGCTTTTGACTAAGCACAATGGGACTACGATGGGTTTTTTAAAAGCGTTTTATACACACTGTACAGAAATCTTTTGCAAAACCTGTGAAATGAGAAAAGGCTGTGTCCGATTTTTGCAGTATCTGTAAACTAGATGATGATGATGAAGACAATTTTTTCTATCACAGGTTTTCAGTATACATATATTGTATCATATATATAAATATATATATATATAAAGGATCCTATTCCATTTCTAGCTTCAGAATTGCTAGGCCCAAAGTCCATCTAAGCCTTTCAGAATGCAGTAGGAGTGGTGAGTTCATCCTTGTGCTTACAGCTTGGAAATGGTTTTCAGTGTTTAAAGTATGTCATTTGTTTCATTTCCAAACTTGTAAATACCTCTCAGCCGCCTTTAGCACCTCATCACCAAAGCATTTGTGAGGATATTTTTATGTCCAAAGCCTAATTTGTAATAAAATATTCACAATTAAAACATTTCTCTCTTGCAAGCCAAGTTGCAACATCATCATATTGATGTCACAGTGACGGAGCCAGGCTGAAGCACCAACCAACACAGGGAGTCTGCAGGGGTAAATGAGCAACTCGTAGGCTGGCCAAATCCTCCTCTCTAGCAGTGGGACTGGGAAGGGAAACACCTCCCTGTCTGGGGCTTCTCCATCCTGCTGCCATAACAGGAAACTCTACAGCCCTGGAGGCTGAAGATCAAAGAGATTTGATTTTTTTTCCCCTTGGCATGTGAGGACTTTGCCTCAGTGCTGAGTGCCATTGCTGTGCCTGTAATGGGAAATGTCAGTTGTTACCAAAGGTTTTCCTAACGAAAAGGGCTTGATCTGACCACGTGTGCTCGGTATAGACTCTCCTGTAAGGGCGAGAGTCAAATATAATTCACCATACAGGTAACTGCACTGTGAGCCTGCAATACATCTGCAGGAGCAAAAGCCATCTCTGCTAGCAGGTGGTGGAGATACTCTGCAGGTGCTGCTAAATTCTCAGGGCTCTGCTAGCCCTTCTTTTGATCCACCTCTAAGCTCAGTTTCATGGCAGGTTAGGAGACCTGGCCCTTCTCTTTGTGCTTGCTCTGTCAGTTCACTGGAGTGGTCAGTGTTTTGCTAGTGGGGAAGAAAGGAGGCACAGAAAAAAAACCCCAACGTTCAGCACCACATGTGTGCGGTACAAGAGCAGAGCTTGAAGTCAGGAAGCCACAGCTGGAGGGGTGAGCCCGGGTGCCCGAGCAGTCAGGAGCGGTGTACGAGGCTGTCTGGCTGGTGGAGGGACATCTAATACAGGGGAAGTTGTGGAAAGGCTTGGAAGAGGTGGTGTTCACAGAGGGCTGAATCTTTTGAATCAGCCACAACCTCTCTCAGTTCCCCTCGTAGTACAGGAGCTAATTTTCTGAGCAATCCAACAGCACCTCTTAGACAAAGGCCAGGCTCTCATCCTGAGCAAGTGTGTGAAGTACACCATTTCTTAGTAACCAGAACTTCTTCAGACAGCACTCATCATGGGGTGTCTTTAATTAGCACCAGCCTCAGGTACCTTCTCACGATAGGACTGTTTGCCCTTCTTCCTATTTGTTAAAGCTGGCTTTTGGTGCTGTGATTGTACTGCCCTTAAAAAATATGTTTACCCAAGTGTGGTTTATAAACTCCATAGCTTTTATTAGGCCTGTTCGTACAGTTCAAGACACAGTCTTTCTGCTTGGCATTAACACAAACAAATTCTTGTGTATCACATGAAATCTGGAGTTATTTATCATTTTATTTTCCAACCTCCTCCATTCAGATCTCGAACTGCAAGAGCAGACACCTTAGATGACAAGGATGAAAAAGCTGGATTGTTTAAGGGAATATTTAAGCCTATCATTGCTATCAAATACAAGGAAAAAAAAAACCAAAACAAAACAACAAAACAAAACAACAAAGGCTGAAAGAGAATACATGTTCAAGTATTGATGCTCAAATTCAAAAATGAGATTACTTGTCAAGGGAGAGCTGCAGGTTCTGAACTCTGAAGATTTTGAATGTTATGGGGTTGCTTTCCTTCATGGTTTTGCTTCTTCTGTATTCATGTTAGAGAACTCCTAAATTCTTTTGAAATTTTTTTTCCTGAATACCATCAAGTTGACATGAAATGCTGCCATATGATAAATACAGAGGAATTATTTTGAACTTGCTCTCACAAGGTCTTTTTAAGCCAACCTGTGGCCTCTCTGCAGATCCAGCAGGTCCTGTGACTGCTGTAAACTGTAACTCTGTTGTAAAGAGATTACAGAAGCTCAGTAAGTAGGCCTGGAGTGAGCCCACTGGGTGAGAAGCACCACAGCCAAACCTCTTTGCAGCACAGCCAAACCCCCTTTGCAACACTCTCCAGCTACTGGATTTTTTTGTGCACAAAATATTGCCTGTGACAAACATGGAGAAAAAGTTTCTCATAAAGCTCCGTTAGGCCTCTGTAAAGCTGCCCAGTGAGCAGCTGACTCCGAGGGGAAGATTTCCACCTGCGTGGTGGCAGCTGCACCCTCTAGCTTCTGCAGCAGCCTCAGACCAGCTGGAGCGACCCACAGTAACAGGTGGAACAGAGTGTCCCAGGCTCGGTGCTGTCCCTGGGCGCTGGGCTGGGTGAGGGTCTGCGGGGAGGCAGCAGCAGAGGTGTGGGTGGAACAGAGCCCACGGGCACAGTGACATGTGGCGCTTGTTGTGTAAGACGGCTGCGTTTAATGAGAGGGGAACTCTCCTCTCTCCCTCTGCTTGGAGCAGCCTGGCCAGGCCGTTTCACACTCAGCCTTTAAACGGGAAATCTGACTGCCCACCTAGCGCCGTCAGCTCCCACCAGAGTGCCCTCGCTGCCCCCTGGGACATCCCCACCTCGCCATCAAGCTGCCAACCCCGCCACGCACGTTGCTAAAGGGAATACACGCAGCCAGTCCAGGGTTTTAGACTTTAATATTTGAAAGCAATCCAGGCTTTAAAATGTATAAAATTTCTCTCTTCCTACTTGTGCCAGCAAGTCTTGTTACTGCTTTTTTAGTATTTTTCAGTACTGTTTATCTTTAAAAGCATTTTACTTATAAAATAAGTTAATGCTGAGACAAAGTCTGTGGCCTCAGCAGACACCTCATCCAAGCTCCGTGGCTTCAGCAGAGTCATCTGCATTTCTGAGGATGCTATTAGGCCTTTGTTACGAATACCACGAATAAAGGCCAAGTGCAGAACCACACATAATGACCTGATTATGTATAACCGTATTTTAATACCCTTGCAGTGAGGGGACTGCATCAAGTGACCTGGGATAACACAAACTTCAGAGACAGATGTAAAGGCAGGTCTGTATATACAAAGGTCTAACAGATAATTAACACACACAGGGGCTAAACCACCTTATTTTGCTGCCGTTCCTTTCACTGCGGAGGCAGTGAGCTTGGATTTATTTTCCAGTTCGTTCTTTCACGTCCCATCAGAAAACGGTGCTTTTCCAAGGAAACAAAAATCCCATTTAACTAAGCTGACTGCACAGTGCCATCAAGTGACGAATTCTCATTCTGGGACCTGTATAGTGGTGAGTGTTGCCATAGCGTCAGAATGCTGAATATTTGCTGTAACTGTAGTCTTTATTATGAAGCTAGTGAAAAACCAACATTTTCTCTACTCAAGCCATATTTCACCTTCATGTCCAACTTCTGATGCTGGTGCTTTTACTTCTCTTTCTACCAAACTGTTCAGCGTTGCTCTGCCACTGAGGTCAGTTTGCTGATAACTTCTGAAAGGCAAATGCAATAGAAAGTGAAAAAAAGAAATAAATAAAAATCTCAGACTTACCAGGATACGAGCAAACAGTTGGAATATATTGATGCTTTTCGATCTTTGCAACAATCAACTGAAGGAGGACAAAAGAAACAGTATTGCTAACAGCTCAGCGTTTTCAAGGTGCAAAGTAATTCCACAGCCTTAATTATTTCAGTGTATTGCTGGTCTGCCTTAAATGTATCTTCAGTTTTATTGCGGATTTCATTTTGTATGCACACAATGTGGTTTTGTAAAGCTAAGTTTGTAAATATTCCCTTTGTAAGTCTAATCACTCGTGTACTGTTGTGGTGATTACTTGCTGTCCCATGTTGTTATGACTATACTGCAGTATATATGATCATCTACAGACGTAGCTTCAAACTGTACATTTTCTGTCCTTGCATTCCTATAAATAGCGTATACTAATGATTTGGTTTCTGGGCTTTTTTGATTAAATACAGTTGTTCAGAGAA